TGCCAAAGTAATTCCCAAGTGGCCTTGGACAAAAGAAAAAAAAAAAAAGGAAGATTCCCACTTATAGAGCAAGGCTTAAATAGCCATATTAAGCAGAGCAAAATGGTGCTTTCATTTTGTCTGCTGGACCTTAGATGCTCAATTATAAACTCTAGTGGGCCAAAATACCCTCTTGGCTCTAAAAACAAATTTTCTGGAAAAACCATCTTCTTGTCTGCAGCTGATAGAGAAGATGCAAATGAGACCTAAAAAGAAGATTTTAAAAGAAAATGCCACAAAAGTAAAACTAATCAGATGGATTTTTACTTGTCTCCTCTTCAAGTCATCCACCAAACTGTCCTACAGGAAGAATTAAAAGTAGCAGTTGAACGATCCACCATACAAGAAGTTTGCATCAATGCATCCACCAGGAAAGCAGACCGCAACCAAGTCTGGTAAAATTTTAGAAAATCTTCCTTAGGGGTTATTAGCCCCTTGGGATGTCCCGATACCACTTTTTTAAGACCAAAGTACAAGTACTGTCCCTCATGTACTTGCCGATACCAATTACCAATACTTTTTCTTAAAAAGGGACATGTGACTTTTTTCTAAAACACCACAATCTGATGATTTTAGGGCAGTTTCTCACCAGGGCTAAATATGGATGTCCCCACAGTAGAACACATGTTCCTAAGGCAAGGCAGGATAGTATTCTGCTTTGGGAACGTGTTCTGCGAATACATGTCTCCAAAGCAGAATTCCTCTCACTAGGTTTTGTGTCGATCTTAGCGGACATCTGCAGTGGCTCTGCAGGCACTCCGCCTCACCGGCGATGTCGGGACCCGGCCTCCCCCACGTCCAGCCCGGCCGACTCTCTGTGCTGCTGGGCCCCCGCGACACTGAAAGAACCGGACAGACACTGCCACGGACAGCTATCTGCCGGTCCCCAGAAGGCTGCTGAGGCCCCCACAAGCACGGGAACTCGGACGGCCGCTATTTGAAAATTTAAAAGGGCCGTTATCAGCCTTAAGAATCGGGGCATTTTCACGAGTACAAGTGCTCGTGAAAATGCCTGGTATCGGTATATACCTATTATCCCCAGTATAACGTTGTTGTGGTTTTACGCCAATCCTTGATTCCAGGCGGAGAACAAAAGCAGAGGACACAACTGGTCTGATAATTGCGACTTTTCCCACTCAGAAGGAAACCCTCTTTTCTTGTTCGCACAGTACAGGAATGACAGATGGTTTATACAGCTGTATTTTCAGGTGAACGGACACTGGTGAGAGCAGTTTAAAGTCTATACAACTCCTACCCCTACAGCCAATCCTGTTTTTTTTTGCCAGTATGCTTAGGTCATGACATGCTCCCACCTATCTCTGGGAAAATTTTGTTCACTTTATAATGTCTAGGATGTTCTGGGCTGCAAGCGACCTGGCGAGTTAAATGCAATCTTCTGGATCTTCCCCCCACGGCGAGAGCTTTGGGGGGTGTACCTGGACCCCGCAAGGAAAGCAACAGAAGATGCAGGGCCAGCCTGTAATGTTACTTCCAGCACATGTTGGGTTAGCTACATGATGCTATACAGGTTCAGGGCAGTGGCATTTCTGCTATGGTGCGACTCCATCCCTGAAGACCCCTTAGGGGGTGAGCTCGCCCAAAGTGAGTCAAGATGAGGAGCATGCTCCTTGTTTGGATGAAGAAGATACTATATGGGTGAGTTCTAGCCCTGTTCTCGCCTCCTTCCTTGTTTTCCAACCAGTGGGTGCATTGTCATGTTGCCTCCACGCACCCCAACCCCCCTTCTTCCCATGCCTGCGGCCTCAGGTGCTGGGGTCCCCCTATCACCTGGAGAGACCTCTACTGTGTGTGTGTGTCCATCTAGCCTTTTTCACCATTTTTGTGTATGACGGCTGAAGGCGGGACAGCATTTATGCACGCCCTTAGATTTTAAATCCTGGAGCTTTCCAGGCAAGACCTTCTTCCCTTTTCTAAAGCCTGGAGGGACAGAGCATCGCTTGGGACACAGACCAAGCTCAGGGCTTGGGCACTGGTCCAACAGTTCAGTCGAATATCGTTAAAAAGCATATCTACTTTCTGAAGAAACTTTGCTGTGCTGCATCCAACTTTGGGAATAGATCCCAAGAGCCCACATCCTTGAAAAACGAAATCTTAACACTATTTTTTCTAGTCTATGCCCACGTAAATATGATCATGCAGATATTTGGACTGCTCTTGAATGCGTAGTGGTGTGTACCAAGCATAGTGTGTTTTCCCAGCAAGAATATAGGATTTTTCTACTCTACATAAAACCCCTTTTTGTGGGACTCCACTGAGGAAGTCATTAACTGTCAAGTTACATTGTAAAAAAAAACAAAAAAAAAAAAAACACACAACAACAACAACTGTAGGTCAGCTTGGTATAAAACACTCCTAAACCCCAGCATGTCTCAGCTTTGTAGCAAAGCAGTACCAAAAGGATGATCAAAAACACAGAAAACACAGAGGGGTGGGACATGTGTTCCTCAGTGGACTCGAAGAAAAGATGTTTAAATACAAAAATAGGACTTTATGACTTACCATAAAAAAACTTTTCTTTAGGGGCATTAAGGGGAACAGGATGGTAATTTAGGTACATAGGGTTATGCTGCTGCCTTTTGGTGACTGGACATATGCAAAACAAAGCTGTAAGGGGAGTTTAGTATACCCTCTCCCACCTCCATCATGCTCCAGTTTTGTAGCAAATGAACTGTAGGATTAGATCAAAAGAACAGAGGGTAGGCACTAATGTATTCCAAGAAAAGTGTTTTACGGTAAGTCAAAAATTCTATTTTCTAAATCACATTAAAAAAGGAACACAGTATTGTAATTCAGGTACAGAGAGACATCCAAAAGAAGTCCAACTTAGTGGTGGGCAACACACCAAACCACTACACCAACAGCAGATTACCAAAAGGGGATCAACAGAGCTTACAGAGCCACCTGAAGAACCTTCCGACCGAAGCTGGCATCAAATAAGGCCTGAGCAACCACCTGGTAAAACATACATGTATGAATGAAAGACAAGGTTGCAGCCTTACAGATCTGAGAAAGGAAGCCCAGTGCTGAAAAGCCCATAAAGAACTAAACTGACCTAGAGAGTGTGCTTTGAAAGGGAAAAGTGGAACCTTGTCCCTAAGTCTGTAGGCTTAAATGATGGGCTGGGGAATCCTCCTGGAAATGCTGGAGTGAGAAGCAGGCAGTCCCCTATGGGGACACTCAAGATTGACAAAAAGGGAGTCAGTTTGCCTACAGAACACTGTAGTTGGGAGATGGCATGTAACACCTCCAAACAGTATAGGGAAATCTCCCTGGGATTTTGGTGAACAGGACAAAGAGATGGGAGAACAAAGTGGAGTAAAGAAATCACTTTGTGGAGAAAGAGGCCTTAGGCATCAAGACAACCTGGTCTCTGAAGCACAAGAAAGGATCCTTTACAGGATAAGGCCGCCAGCTCAGAAACTTGCCTTGTTGAAGTGATGGCAACAAGGAAGGCAAACTTGTGAGAGTAGAGAGGAATGTACCCAATAGGTTCCCACAAAAGCACCAGGGAACACAGAGGAGGAACAATGTAAGCAACCCCCTGTAAAAAGGTTTCACTTAGGAGTGAGAAGCAGGCCTTTGAAAGAGAACCACTAGGGCTGAGATTTTACCCTTGACAATGTGCACAGCCAGATATTGATTCAGAGTAAAGCCAGGAGTCAGCTCACAGAGTGCTTCATACTGTCAACTTAGCTTGAGGGCCAGATTTTGCCTAAGCCACTTAAAATGTCTGCACCCCTCAGCACTTTGCCCCTTCAAATTCCTCCACAAGTGGAAAGTATTATGGTACTCCGAGAGTTCCACAAGCATTCCTACTGCAACACAAACAGGTGGGTTATCAGTCCCTCCAGGTCATCAAAGAGCATAGAGGTCAGAGGAAGAGGTGGAAGGCAACCTCTACCCTACCAGCAAGAGGACATGTAGTACTGGCTAATTGATAATTGCTACTACACATGTTAAGAGATCAAGACATTTATAACTAACTAGCAGGGTTTCTAGACTCATGAACAAAATGGAAGGAACGCAAAAAATAAACAGGACAACCTCTTCAACAAGAAAGCAGAAATACAAGAACTGGTGGGTGGAGGCAAAAGTTTATATCTTTTTTAAAGGTGGTGTCTTGTAAGAGTCCTATATTGCAGTGGTGTTCTGAAGTATGAACTGCAAAAAAAAGTACATTAACATGGAACAGTAATTGTTTCCTACTGTGGAACCCAAAACCTCCCAATTATGTGGGCAATAAACAAAGTCAGACATTAGATCAGCACTTCGGCATTCTTCCCTTAATTATGGCAAAGCAGAATCTATTACAAGAGCGGATCAGTGATCTATGCCGTTATAGTCCACAGAGGATCCAAGAGGATGTATAAGATACTATTGTTCTAGTATATGACCAAGAAAATGTAAACGCTCTGCTTTACTAGCGGAAAGGGGTTCTAAACCCTCCGGGTTTTTTTGGCTATATCTACTGCTAGCAAGCAGTAGCTATATGCAAAAAGTTTTTCTTTAAAACGCTTTAACAGCAGTTTCAACTTACCACGTTTTCGCCGCGCGATCCCGCCCGAGAATCCGAAACTGCTCGGGCGGCCGCAAAGCATCTTGGGGCGGGCGCATGCGCAGTTTGAATTTTCGGCCGGTAGACTAGCAGAGACGCAAGGTAAGTCTATGGGCGTGTGCACCTGCATGCAGACACAGCGGGATTGGAAGTGCCTGCAAGGACAGAGGAGTGAGCGCTGGATCGGAGAGCCGCCGCACCGCTGGAGGGACAGATGAAAACATCAGGAAAGAAGAGGAAAATCGTATTAAGAGACATCATTAAGGTAAGTGCTGACATTAACATGGGGGGGGGGGAACATTTCTTTGACTTTAATGTCACTTGAAGGACAGGATTCATTCCTCCCAAGATTAAAGAAAAAAGCCATGCCACCAAACCAACTCACCTCTTTCACTTTTCTCTACAATCATGTCGATCAATGCTTTGGCTTTTTCTTGTTGCTCACTGCTCCCAAATATCTTTACCTCCGTGTCACAATCTTCTTTTATAATCTTAAGGGGAAAAAAAATTTCCACAACTTGTAATAGCAGATATATACATCTGTCGTTATAAAAACGAGCACATTGCTTATTTGAAAAATAATCCCTAAAACAATGTACTGGTGGGTTTAGAACAGCGGTTCTCAACCTGTGGGTCACGACTAGGGCTGCAGCTAACGATTATTTTCATAATCGATTAGTTGACACGACCCCCAATTAAGTGGGTCACCGTGTGCCTTCTGCTGCACCAGCCTCCTCCTAGCGCAGCAGTGTCAGTTCTCCCACCGGCCGCCAGATGTTGCTGCAGCAGCCGTGGGTGGGGAGGAGCTGACAGCAGGCGAGTGTTTTTTTTCTACATTTAGCCCGGCTTCAGACATGCAGGGCTAAATGTACAGAGGGGGAGACAGTCAAGTGATGTTGGCAGGTGTCACTTGTAATTAGCCTGCTGCTCCGTCTCAACCCCCTGCTGCCCCCCTCCATGGTCTGTCCCCCCTCTGCGGGCCACCTCACTCCCAGCTGTGGTTTTCAGTTTACATCTGGGGGACCCGGAACTACGGCAAATTGCTTCAGGATTGAGAGCGGGGAGCAGAGCATAGAACGTCCATTTTCTACTCTGGGATGGGAACGCTGTACACACAACCTTCCCATCTCAGCTGTCACTGGAGTTCCAGCACAATGCTGTGCTAGAACTCCTGTATTGGAGGTGACAGGTTCAATAAAGAGAACCTGTCACCTGTGATAGTAATAAAGTTAAGTGAAAAAAATTACTAAAAATGCAAAAATGTAAAAAAAAAACATGATAAAAATACATCTTAGAAAAATTTAGATTTAACAAAAACAAACAAAAAAATGGATAAAAAGTAAACAAAATGAAACTTGTTGCTACGCAGCCTGGCTTCCTAACCAATCAGAAAGCCGGGCAAATGTCATGGCCCACCTCCCTGATTGGCTAGGAAGCCAAGTGGCACCTCATGACCCGCTGCCCGGCTTCCCGAGTAGTCGGAAAGCAGAGCAGCCTCGTGAAGTAAAGCCGGTTTTCTTTTGATAGCACACCGGCTTCCTAAGCAATCAGAAAGCCGGATGGCGGGTCATGATCTGCCACATGGCTTCTTGATATTCGGGGCACACAGAACCGTTATTTGGTATCGACGAGTTGAGGAACAAAAAATAAATAAAAAATTGGTAGTTGATCCTGAAAAAGTGGTATTGGTGCATCCCTAATAAGCCACTAGTTTAGAAAATCCTCAGATTTTGATCTGTGTATAATGCTATGTCCCATATAAGAACCTAGAATAGGAGATCATTCAGTGGATTTAAAGACTAACAGGTGTTTTCAGGCACCAAACAGCTTGTACTTGAAAAAGTTCTTACCTTCTAGGTTAGGCCAGGTTTATGTTAACTACATTTTGTAACAGCTCATTCTTGAAGAGGATGTGGCTTTTTATCTGAAGTATTCATGCAGCGTTGAACTATAGTTACCTTTATTCTTGAACCAGATGCTTCCTCTAGCTCTTTTATTTTAGATCCTCCACGACCTGCAATAGACATTAATCAGTATAAACTCAGAGAAAATGCCCCGGACTCACAGATGTGCCGTTTTAAAGTATCCTTGTGAATAGAAATATGTAAGCTGCCATTCTTTTCAAAAGTGCAGAATCTGAAGCCGCCAAACTGATTTTGGCTTCACAAACTGACCTGCAGCAAGCATCTTATTAGCAAAGCCTGTGCTCCATGTTTGTTTCATGTCAGGGATTCACAAAAGGTACTGAAGTCAGAATGGGAGAGGACTGCCCCAGTGCCTGCACCTTCAAAAACCAATTCAGCAATGAGAACTACCTTATTTTGGATTTTGTTTATTGGTGAATTAAAGATTATATAGAGAAAAGAAAACATGCTCTTATATATCTGGACTACAGTAGGGTTGCGGCTAACAATTATTTTCATAATCGATTAGTTGGCAGATTTTTTTTCCCCCATTATTTGGATAAAAAAGAAAAGAAAATACCATCTTTTAATTAAAATAAAATACACAAATGGAGTGTTACAAAGAAATTTGTATTTTATTTCATTCGTTTATTTTGGAATAAAACTGCATGCACAATTTTTTGCAATCACACTGGAACAGAGGGCATTGCGGTACCATGTGTTCTAATGCAGACGATGCACAGCTGAGTCAGCCCAGCACTGAGCTGGCTCTCTCCACACACAGCCAGCCCACTTCTCCCGAACCCACATCCTTCTGAGAATTGCAGTCCAGAGAGCTCAGTCTATCACAGTACTTCCCCTGGCTGTGTACTTCATCTCCCACAAGTCTCTGTTGCAGGGATCTCTGGCAGCAACAACAGTTAACTCTTAAGGGAGAGAATGCTGCACCAGGATAAGGCCCCATTCACACCAGGGCGGTTTGTTGTGCGCTTTTTTTTTTGCGCTGAAACGCATACAAATTAAAATCCCATGTATTCCTATGGGGGCCGTACATGCAAATCCGCTGATTCACGCGTTAAAAAAAGTACGCCTGTTTGAAATAATCCATGAGCTTCTTTTGTGGCACTTATCAGCTCGTTTTGCTCCATAGACTTTAATGCAAATCGCGTTTTTTGCGCTTTTGTTGACAAATAGGAAGATGTCACCAGCACACCAAACGATAACTGCAATCAAGTGCTCATTTATTGACAAATGCTATCTATCATTAGCAAGCGCTTTCGGGACCACACAGGGTCCCCTTCATCATGCTCAGGCTTGTGAGCTTTTTTGAGCGCGTTCTTGCAATTGAGACTGCTTTTATTGGACAACTGAAAACACGCCTTATGTACTATGGATCATGGTTTAACCTATTCATGTTAGCAGGGGATAATTGTAACTCTATTGCTGGAGTGTAGTGGAGGTGTGTGCTGTATATATGCACTACATATACATTACACACGTCCAGTACACTATAGCAATAGATTTACAGCCAGCCCCATCCCAGCTTCCCTTACTCACAGTTTCACTCCGATCCCCGTAGCCTCACGCGATGCCTCTTGTAGTCGGCGCTGGGCAGGATCGCTGCATCGCATCTCGGTGCTCAGCTTGTGGGAGGCGCTCACAATTCTGCCCTGCTAACATGAATAGGTTAAATCATGATCCATAATACATATACAGCACAAACAAAACACGTATGAGAATGCTGTGTAAGGTGGGCTATAGACCTGTCAATGTTTTTAATTCAACCAACAGGCTGAACAAAAGAAATTAACCTGATTCCTCCATCAACACAAACAGCGTGTCGATCGAGGAATCCAGCTGTTTACATCGTATTCCGACAGGTGTCCGATCAGAGCGGGCAGCTCATTGGCTGCCCACTCTGATTTGCTGGAAATGTTTCCAGCCGCCTCCTTCAATCAGCTGATTGAGGAATGCCAATTGAAAGGGAGCCGACAGCACCACACACTGTGCAAATTTTGGCCGGTACAATAAAAACCAGCCGAAATTCGCCTAGTATATGGCCACCTTAAACCACAATACTCCAATTATGTGTTGGAGGTAACAGGGTCAATAAAGAGTACCTGTCACCTCCAAATGCTATCACACAGGGGATTTTTATCCCCTGTGTGATAGCAATAGTTATGTGGAAAAAGAAAAGTTTAAAAAACAAAACAAAATGGAAAATGTAACTAAATAAAATCGTAAAAATTAATATAGGCGATAAAAGTAAAAATAAATGAAAATTAAATTTTTTTTACAGTGATGTTCCCTTTACATGTAAGTATAACCAATTTAAAAATTGATAGGGCAGAACAAGTTTCTTGGGCGAACTCACCGGCCCAAGTGGCTCCGTCGGCTAACGAAGGGAAGGGGGGAGGAGTCCGGTGACGTCACGGACATAGACGACGGGACTCCCGGAAGCCGGCAGGGAGGCGAGTGTTTTCATTAGCGATCAAAAGCATTTTAAGCGACCAAAAATGTTAATGATTAATCGAGGAATTGATAATTTCCGCAGCCCTAATATATATATATATACATACATACATACATACATACACCTGCCAACATCTGACGCAGCAACCCACTTGTTTCTTTACCCCACCATGGTTTTCCCCCTGCCTTTCTGAGGGACCCTGGTAAATAACTTCACAGGGGTGTGGAAATTAGGCCTGCAACCAACTAATCGATAATGAGAATAGAGCTGCAGCTAACGATTATTTTCAAAATCGATTATAATCGATTAGTTGTTGCAGCCCTAAATGAGAATAGTTGTAAACTATTCTCATTATCGATTAGTTGGTGGGATCCCCTAGCTCTCCCCTCCACACTGGGAGGAGGGCACAGCAAGCAGTGGGCAAGCGCAATAGACAGCCTGTCATTACAATGGCCAATAGCAGGCTGGCTATTGCACCCACCCACTACCTGCTGTATTTACATTCAGCTGCCATCTGCGGAATCTTGCCACTGGAAGCTGTCATTCCCTGGCTATCATTAATCCTGTATTTTTCATGAGGTTCTTTAAAGAAGGACTCTGGGCATTTTAAAAATGAACCCTTCCAGTGGGGCCTTAAAATGACAAGTTACATAATAGTCCACAGAGACCCTGTACAGAGCAGAGAACATGAACATGGGTGAGCCTAGGGCCTGTCTACTCACCGATCACTTGGCCGATCACTGAGCTGTCCAGACGAAAACACATGGGCTCTCCCCCGGAGCCCGACTCGGGGTCTCTCCTCCGGAATTCCCGGCTCCATGTGCCAGAGCCCCCTGGGCCTCCCTCTGCTACTCTCTCCCAGCCACAACCTCTACCGTCACCCTTATCCCTCATCCATCGCCCTCCACCTTCACCCTCATCCCTCTGATAGCTCCGAGACTCCGACGCCCTTTCTCCAAACCGAAAGGACTCCCGGCTGTCATAGCGCTGCTGTGATGGGGGCGCCCATGACTGGCTTGCAGGGGGTCCATTATCTTCCTCCTCCCAGTCAGACATAACTCGCACGCCAGCAAGGTGCACGGAAACTCTGACGTCACCTAATTGGCGCTAAACCCCGCTACTGTCACACCAATGAGCGCAAGGTGGGAGGAGCTTCTTATCATTGGTGCGGCTCTTCCTGCCTAAGCGGCGCTGATAGTACCGCGGTGTGTGCGGAGGGAGAGGGGTGTACACTGTACTGTGCCAGTATTTTGCAGCGTCAAGTGCTACAGCAGCTAAATACCGTGGGGAGAAGTTACAACCTCTCTCAGGTTTGTGCGGTGTGTGTCATTCTTACACACTTTTAACATCTTTGCCCTGTTGACCATTGTCGCTGGGAGTGACCGAAAATCCCAGTCCAACAGCGACACACTTATGACAACTTACAGGGGTGGGCAAAGTCTTGCCCTCCGGCTGTGGTCAAAGTACACATCCCATGATGCATCTGTCTCTGGGAGTCATGCCTGTGGCTGTAAAAATCTTGCAATGCGTCATGGGATTTGTAGTTCTACCACAGCTGGAGGGCCAACATTTGCCCACCCTGCTCTATGAGAAACAAGGGAGGTAAAGACTGGCAGTTGACCTGTGCTTTTACTACTCACCCACCTAAAACTTACCAGGGTGGCTGCTTAGTTGTGGACACATGCTGTGGCTGCGATATTTTGTTTCAGGGCCATGGCCAATTTTAGTGGCCATGGGGCAGGAAGTGGAGGGAAATCTCACATATGAGGCACAGTAGTTATAACTCTCCTTTACTATAAAATAAAAAAAAACAAAGTTTTGGTTTTAGCTCTACTTTCATGTTAGGCATCATTCACTCCTGCAGTCACATGAGTCTAATGAATTCCATCTGCTGTAGGTGGGAGGTGCTGTATAATACAATGACAGCAATGACTACCTCCAACAGCTATTTGCATGTAATTGCACACCCTGTATTTACCTGCAGATGATCACACCTAGATGCAAACAATCTGCGTTCAGCTGCAGGTAGTGGCAGATGTCATTAATTTGTACAGTGTCACCCACAGCAGATCACATGACCACACCTGAGCGTAGCGGGAACACGCGTCATGTTCTTGCGTGTTTGTTTTCTGCATGTAACAAGCCAGAAAGTCGCTCGCACTCCGTTGCAAATAACAGTCACTCTTCTTTATTGACCATCGTGATGTCACATAAATAAACCGACGTTTCGGAACCGGGCGGTCCCTTCGTCAGGCTAACAAAAAGCGTGATCCCCAACACGTGAAGTGCAAATATATATACACATAACAGAGAGAAACTATTAACCAATCACAAAAGTTCACCAAAAAGTGTACCTCCCACTTGGACGCCTTTATGACGTCATGTTCCCGCCATTTCATCCAAATGCTGCATAATGTACGAAGAAACACTTTATGCATAATAGTAATAGCTGGAAAATGCACCACGTACAGTTGTGGCTCTGTCTCTTTAACGATTCACTGTAGCCGCCACGATCGAGTTGCAGCCTCTCACGCTGTCCCATCAACCGGCCGCTAGTCCCGCCTCGCACATGTATTCATGCGGAAGAGGGCTTAAATAATGGCGCCATGGCAACCGAGTACACAACTCGTGTTGCAAATGAGATCCCACCAACTTTCTATGTGGGCTTGATGCGGTCAGGAGTGGTTTGGGATCTACTACATCTTGTGTTGTCTGCATGTGCCAGGCCTCCCCATTGAGTTCAATGGGTTCCTCTATATGTGACAAATGCAGAAAAGTAGTGCATGTAGCCAAATTTACGACGTGTACAAATGTGGGGGGAAAACGTGCATCTTAATGACAGCGCTTGGGATGCCATTCGCTGGTAATGACATAGCAAGTGGGTTTCACGTTCTTGATGCATTTAGCTAACATGCATCAAAGTGCGCATGTTTGTGTGCGTTTGACACACGTTCACAAAACGCTCAGGTGAGAATGGGGACTTACATAGAAATTTGGAAGACTTGTGTGATCAGCTCCATTTGCAGGTGTGAATAGGCCTTAAGGTGCCCATACACCTTACGATTATCGGACGAAACTTTTCGTCCGATGATCGAACCGTCGTGCGATTTTCGTACGACGGCCCCATCCTGCCCCGATTATCGCAAGGTTCAATCAGCGGTAGTTAGAAAAAAACACCTGGACGACTTGCGGTAATTGACCGCAATTATTTTCGTTTGCGCATGCGCAGTGTTAATCGTACGACTTTTGACGGACGGAAACGCCACCAACCATGCGAACATCGTACGATCAACCAAAGTTTTCAAACATGCTTGACCGTCAAAAGTCGTACGATTGTACAGTACTATCGATCGGGCACTCTATTCACACGTTACGATTGTCGTACGAAAAGTCGATCGCATACGATTATCGTACGATAATCGTAAGGTGTATGGGCACCTTTAGAGCTGTGCTGCTTTAGAGAACCATTAGGTGCAATGTGTCAACGTAGGGTTGCTGGTAATATTCTGCAGTGCTGACCTTTATTATAATGTATTGCTGGGACTTGTAGTCCCGCATCACTGGTGGTATTCTGCATTGCTGTATGATGATTATAGCAATGCAGAATAGCTCCAACTATGTAGGACTACAAGTCCCAGCAATGTATTATATTTTTAAGTAGAGATACACCAGTGCCAATACTTGGCATTTTCACAAGTACTCATACTCGTGAAAATGCTCCGATACTAAATGCAGATACCGGTGTTCTGTCGAGAAGTCGACCTAGTCGAATTTGCTGACCTCAGCATCTGCGCTTGCCCACAGACCAGTATTATCGAGGAAACCGGGATTTATTCACAAAGTATTTTGTTTAAATCGTTAATTGTGACTGTTAATAATATTCCATCCGTCATTTACTGCCATGGACGGTATATTATTAACGGTCACAATTAACCATTACAAATTAATACTTTGTAAATAAATGCCGGTTTCCTCGATAATACTGGTCTGTACGTAAGCGCAGATACTGGGTCAGCGTTCTCGACAGAACACCGGACTAAAATTTTAAACAAGAGGCTGCCTGAGGTCCCAAGCTTGCTGGGGACCTTGGCAGCCTTCCTGTTAACCATGCGGTGCCATGGCGGTTGGGGGGCCCTTCATGGTTTCGCCTCTGTTGAAATCCCAGGACAGTCTGGCAGAAATCAGGATGGTTTGGTGGTATGCCAAAGTGAAGTAAATCTTGCCATTCCGTGTCCCATTCAAAAGATTTCTCCTAACTTCCTGGAGGAACAACAGAAAGTGAGAGCAAATGAGCGTGGTTTAAGGGTAGGGTTGCCACCAGTCTGGTTTTGGAGTCTTGTGTCCGGGGGTCCAGCCAGCAGGCACCCGGACACAAGACACTAAGTGCCGACACCAGCATTTTAAATTTTCTGACAGATGCGTCTGTGGAGGTCCTCGGGAAGTGCGATCTCGGGCAGCCGCATCTGCCTGAACCCGCATCTTCCTCTGAGCTGCCGGCAGCCTGTGCCTGTTTACAGGTGCCCGCAGCTCAGAGAAAGGAGCGGGTTTTAGGCAGATGTGGCTGCCTGAGATCGTGCTTGCCGAGGACCTCCACAGATGCATGTGTCATTGCCTTCTCCTCCTCCAGCTCCCTGACATTGTGCTGCCCACCTGTGGACCCCTGATGAGACACCATAGCCCAGACAGCCCTAAGAGTCGCACAGCCCACTTGAGAGTGGCACAGGCCACCTGGAGACATCAGTGCGCCACCCCGGAACAGAGTATGTAGCTTCATATTATTTTATATTGCTGTATAATGTATTGCTGGGATTTGTAGTCCTCTATAGCTGGTCTCCTTACTCCCTCCCCTGGCTGCCTCTCCTCACTCTCTCCTCTATATTCTAAAAAAAAAAAATTGCCACGTGTGGCGCTAGAGTGTTTGGGTTTCACTTGAAGAAAAGGTGACAACCCTATGTCAACGTCCAAACAAATAAGGACTTAGGGCCTGTGCACACATACAGTCCCTGACGTTTTTTCTGCACCAGACCAACACCAGTCATACCAAGGCACATAAATATCATTTTTTAACAGTACACCATATTCCACACTGCAGCACAATGTAAGGCCCTGTTCACACCTTTACGTTTTGTCGCGCGTTCAACGCTCTATGAACGCTCTACAAAACGTACAAACATGAAAATCCCATTGTTTTCTATGGGTATGGTTCACACCTTGCCATATTTCAGCCCGTCAGAACGCACTACAAAACGGCCCACGCCTGAAAAGGTAGAGGAGCTTCTTTGCGGCGTATTGGGCCGTTTTGTATCGCGTTCGCGGCCATAGACTTCGACGTGAACGGGCGTAAATAGTGTTTGCGTCATCCAAAATCGCGCCTATAACGCCCGTTCAGCACATGGCCACAGACTCCACCCCAGGCTTGCAGTCTGCATTTTTCGTCCAAAGAGGAAGCACCATGGAAGATTCTGCAGAATGTGGCCTACTTCTAGATACAGAGGCGTTCATACAACTGGTGAAGACAAGACCGTGTTTATATGACATGAGACATGCCGACTACAAAAATAGGGGCATCAGGCGGCGTTCGTGGGAAGAAGTTGCCCAGATGACATTCCCCGATTGGGAGGGTTTCACGAAGCAAGTGAAGGCAGCAAAAGGTACATTTCCAGCGTTTCCAACAGATCCCCGTGGCGCAGCATGAGTCCAAAGTCCGAATGGGCAAATACCGGAGTCTGAGCTGCTGCCGTAGGATCCCACATCAATATAGGGGAAGCAGTAGTTCGCATCTGCTACGGCAAAAAGAACGATAGAAAAAAAATTCTTGTAATTTAAGAAACGACTGCCGCTCCCAATAGGCTTTATGATGCGAATATGTTTTCCATCTATGGCTCCCACACAGTTTGGAAAATTGCATGACGTCGCAAAAAGTTCTGCAATTTGCACCCACTCCTCCTTGGTGGGCTTGGACATGACCACATCACGCAGGACATCCCAAATCGCACAGCAGGTTTCCGTGATGATCTTGCTTGCAGTAGATTTGCCAATCATGAACGCGTAGTGAA